TCTGGGGTGTATTTAGCTGTGGAGAACTATCGTAATGGAAGCTAAATGCAGGTCTACTAGCTACAATATGCTGGAAATTGAAATTATTTCACGACCTTCCACAGATTTTATAGGGATAGTAATCAATAGCTAGTGATTAGTTAATTTAATAGAATACGAGAGGTTCTGGAAGCTGGAACTCGAGCAGTGATTTTCCATTTTGGAAGTATCTGACGGCGCAACAAAAGAAAACAGGGAAAGGTGATTTTTTTTTTTTTTTTGTGTGTAAATGAAAGGGTTTAAATCCGGGACCTTTTAGTTGCACTTTCTTTCACCGAATTATTCAATTTATCTCTCTCTAAAAAGGATCACTTTCTATGTTATTTCTATTTTTATGCTAACGTATCTTAAAAAGGACCCAACTAAGTTAGAAGGGATTAAATCACCATTTAATTTAACTGAATTAGAAAGAATCGACAGAAATTGAATTACCATCGAGTCTAGAAAAAATCAATGGGAACTAAAAAATATGTATTACATACTTGTTTAGATTTGAAAAACCATGTATTAGTGGCGGCACATAATAAGAGACAATGATCGAACCGTTAACCTCTCACTCAGTGTCTTTGCAGTGGTCAACAAGTCAAAGAGCCTAATTCACTTATTGAAGAGCCAAAAAATGACCAAGCCAAGAGGTACTGAAAGTGTGTATGAATAACAAGTTTTTTTAAAAATATATTATTATTTTATTTGTATTATAAATATTTTAATTAATTAATTATTTTATTTTATATATATTACATCATCAATCTTTATTTTTTTTTTTCTTCGGAGAAGGTTTTACTCGTAAATTGCTGCCTAATTTGCTTTGGATGAATAAAGCACAAATTTTCTCGGGCAAGGTGGGGTCTGAAGTTTGACCGCGACGATAAAACCAAAGTCTTGAAATGCAAGTAACGGCCGTAACGCCAATCGAAGGTCTGGACTCTGGAGAGAGAACAAACCAAACTCCGCTTGATGCTGAGGTAGAAGATTTATTATACTAGTAATACAACTAGTAATTTGTGTCCAGAGCAGTCAATGAGTAATTGAGTAGGACATTAGTAAGATTTAAAAGAGCACAACAAATGCAAATTTAACTCCTCAAGCAATTACTGTCCTATTAAAAAAAAACAAAACAAACAAACAGCTAGACAATTAATAGGCTCACCTAAACTAATTCTGTCCGCTTCACTTTTACACACACAACAGCAGCTTCCGTCGTTATCTCCTATAAGCCTATAAAACACACACACACACACACACACACACACTCACTTGCCTCTCAATAGCCTTTTCATTTCAGCGCTTCTTTTCCTTTCTTTATTTTTAGTCCAAGCTGTAAAATCGTCATCGAATGGCAGGTGGGGATGATGGACTCGAAGATCACGATGATCCTCTCGCCGTGGGGAGCTACTCGAAACTCCTCTTTGCCGAAGAAGTCGCAGATGATCTTGACCCAGATGTCTGCTTCAATTTTACTACCTCCTCATTTTCATCCACTCCTCCCAAAATGCTCTGCTTTGGTGATGAAAATAGTCAAGACTTTGATTTTACTTTCGAGAAAATTACTGCAAAATTTGCTCAAAAAAGTGGAGGAGTGACATGCAGCGATTCATCTTCCGCCTCTTCAACGACTGTAAACAGCAACATCACTACTTCTATAAGCAAGACCAACGTTAGCTCTTCACAAAAATCAAACGTAAGTAGTTTTGCAGTTTCTCCCGTCATTCTTTTAGCCGCATATATGCTAACTGTAAAAGAACAAAAAAAGGGATTTGGGGGGGTGGGGGACATCCTTTTTCGGCTCTTATTCTTTTCTCTCTCTCTTATTCCTTTTTTTTTTTTTTGGGGTGACTGAAAATTTTAAGGCCAATAATGGGCTAGCTAAGATATTGATTAAGCTACCCCAGACCTTGCATGTCTGGATTTTGAGGTTTGTCTTGTTGTGCAGAAAAAGAGAAATGTGTCAGGGGCTATTGGCGCTGTCAACGATGAACCAGTTCAGAACTCAGCCGTCGGTAATGTAGCTCCGGCGGGAAGCCAGACAAATTGTAAGAAAAAGAAATCTGCTGATAACTTGATTGAGACGGCGACGGGGCATGGAAAGGTCAGACAACCCCGAAAGAGGACTTGCATGTCGAGGACACACACACACACTAGCTCATCATTTTTTGTATTAATCAATATTGTGCTAAAGATGTTTGTTCAAATTAATTTGTGTGGCATAGGTCAAAAAAGAGAAACTTGGAGAAAGAGTCATAGCTCTCCAGCAACTCGTTTCACCCTTCGGCAAGGTTGATTTTAGTTAGTGTAAATTATTTTATTTTATTTTTTGTCAATTTTCATTGTAACAAAAAGGGTTTTGAATTAAAGCATGGAGTTACTTATGGGAAGAAATCTCTGATGTTGCATTTTGGATTTTGCATCGTGTTGTACTTTTGGGTACAGAAAATTGAAACCATATGTTACTAATACTAACGTACTCGCTCTGATGGAGCGCTGCAGACGGATACGGCATCAGTACTTCACGAAGCGATGGGTTACATCAGATTTCTGCAGGATCAGGTTCAGGTCTTGTGTTCTCCATACTTGCAGCGTCTGCCTTCCTCGCCCCGTTACTTGCTTGTAAGTACTCGCCCAGCATATTCCTGGTACAAGCTTCTTGTGACTTTACCCTGGCCCCTGGCCCTGGTTTCTCTGTCAATTTTCTGGTTTTGATGACTGGAAAATTCTAACGTATTTTTTCGGGTTGGCTTTGTTTAATAAAGTCTTGAGCATGTACCTTTTAATTGGTTAAACACAAGGAATGTTGTGGTAAGCTATTCACTGGGAGGGAGTACTTTTCTCTGGAGTTTATATTGAATGAAAACGCGAAAGATGAGACGCTACACTATATTTCATTTTCACCACCAATTTGTTGGATCTAAGGGGGAAAAAGTGAACCCGCCACTCCTACTCGAGTACGTACCACACAATGACATTCAGCAATGTCGTCATTGGAAAATTGACGCCTCCTGCTGTAATGTCATCGTATAGGATTCCTTTTCATTGTAAAAATCATCGAAGTCTTACTTGCCTAAGTGGTGCAAACACCAGTGAAGTAAAGATGAAGAAGTTCATAGGTAGTATATAGCTTTGTAGCTTCCCTGGGTATGGTTGGTTGGTTGGTTAAATTAACTGTACTATGGTCGTGCGCCCCTCCAAAGGGTATCATAACCGTCCTCTTCTCTGTGAAAAACAGGAAAAAGGTGGAGAATGCAAGGAAGGCGAATCAACGACGGATCTAAGAAGCAAGGGGTTATGTCTGGTCCCAGTAGAGCTCACGCTACATGTGGCAGAGACTAATGGAGCCGATTTTTGGTCACCGGCTATGGTCAACAAGTAATCATCAAACCAATAATTAAGTAGGAGTATGAATTTTTTGTATGGATGGACAGATGCTGCAAACTTCATAATGTTGATAAGCAGGGGAAACAGAAAAAAAAAATGGCTGTAAACTGTTGCCCGGATGAAGAAAGAAGTAAAGGTGGTAGGATGTAGCAGTAGCAGTAGCAGTAGCAGTAGCAGTACATGGTGCTCGTAAATCACTAGAAAAAGAAACAAAAAGGTACATGGTAGGTACTCGCAGTTATAGGATGGCAAATTAGGCAAGCAGGAGCCTGTGAGTTCACTAATTTTGTATTGTCCCATCATACGGAGCTATTGTGAAAATCTTATGACTCACTGTAGCCAAGTCATCCAACCAAAACTCGAAAAAAAAAGGGCAAAAAGACCTCTTGCATTGCCGTCGTTGTACTTGTGTGTTTTCCTTATTGGGTTAATGCGTACGACTTGCATAGGCGTATCCTATGTGTATTATTACCCCCAAAAAAAAAGTAGTAATTGAATGAGAAATAAATTGTTTGTCGAGGAGGTCGGGTTTGTTTGGATTCCTCAATTTTTGAAATTTTTTTTATATATAATGCTATAATAATATATAAATCAAAAAATTTCAAAAACACATATTCAAACAATCTATCAAAAATAATTTCAAATATACAAAAAATAAAAAATACACCACCATCATCCATCACTCTCCACCGCCACCATCTCTATACCCATGACCCTCCTTCCTCTCCCTGTCTTTCCTCCTTTTCCCCTTCTCTTCCCTCTCTTATCCCTTCCCTTTCCCCACCCCCAATTCCTTCTCCCTTCCCTCTCTTATCCCTTTCCTTCCCCCACCCCCAATTCCTTCTCCCTTCCACTGACCGCAACCTTCTTGGTCACGACCAAATCTAATCGCGACCACTTATGGCTTGGTTGTGACAAAAAGGTCGCGATTAGAGTGGTGACAGCCACCACTCGTGAGTAGGAGAGGGGTTTGGGATTGGGGGAAAGGAGGGTAAGAAGGAGAAGGGAGAAGAAAGAAGTAGGAGGAGGAGGAGGAGGAGGAAGAAGAAGATGGAGAGAAGAAAGAGAGAAGAGAGGAAGATGGATGAGATGGTGGTGAATGGTGTAAAATTTTTAAAAAATTTTAAAATATCTTTAAAAATAATTCAAATAAATATTTACGATAAAATTTTTTCATATATACAGGTAAAATAAAATAGTTTTTGAAAAAACTCCAAAAAATAACTAATCCAAAAAGGTCCTTGAGTTTTTGATTAATTTGGATGGAACTTGGAACCCCGTTCTTTACCTCCATTTGTTCTTTTCACTTCTATGATTTGTTAAACTAAAAACTCAAAAGCAGTAGCATGCCTAATTAAATAGTTCAACGTCACCCCTTTGGGAAGAATAACAAAAGAAAGGGAACAAAGAAAAGGAAGAAATAAATGAAGCCGGAGTAGAATCAAAAGATAGGAGCGGAAACTGAAAGAGAAATTGGCCAAAATTGTGTGTACGACGCATACATCATGACTGGGAAGTAATTTTACCAAAATTAATCATAGCCGTTGAATATAATGAAAATAGGCACCCGCAGACCAATCTGACCACGTATTGTCTGGAAGCTCACCAGAACCTCCCCGTTTCCGTCATCGGTGGTCGCTTTTACCGCCTTACCGAGTTACCATTCCAATCGACTCGTTTGCCGCTTTATTTTTAAATCTTCCAGAGCAAGTTTGAAGGGATGAAACCGTTTCATTTCATAAATCTCCAGCGTTAGCTTACCAAGTAAGTACTAGACCATTTTAAAGCACTAGAATTTTGGCACTCCCGACAATCAGTATACGGACCGGAAGTCTGGCAATACTCCCTGCATTTGTTGGCAACGTCTTCCGCCCATTCGAATATTCCATCATCTGCCGTACGTTAATTTCGTCGCCAAGAAGATGAGTCTGAATTCATCATCCAGGTCCGCCACATCGAATTCAAATTCGAAGCGGAGCGTGACCTCAAACTCTAATTCCAACCCTTCCACTTCGGGCAATAACAGCTGTCGAAATAATGACAAGAGAAACAGGAAGCGGAAAACTGACCAAAATCAGAAAACCCTAGGCATGGCTTGGGGAGCAAATTCTCGATCTTCTTCCCGCTCCGCCTTTCGCAATTCACCCTTCCCCGATTTCGGCAGGCAATTCCCTACGTTCTCTATCAAACACTTCAACCTGCTATTAGTTAAACTTGCGTCACCTGATAAACATGAGCCGTCCCATTTGCTATAAAGTTATCTGATTTTTCTTTTTTAATTACTATTTCGTTTCAGATTCTAACTCTGGCTTATACCTGTGCTAGTTGTCGCTAATTATGGCGCTATCCATTTCGTGTTTTATTGCTTATTTTCTCGATGATGAAAAGCACCTTCAGTTAACAGTTTGACATTGGTTATTTTTCTCCATATTTTGAATTTCTTGATATCAAAAGTTACTTGATCCGTGATTCGAGTTAAGCTTGATAATAGCTCATTCTAGGTTGGTTTTTGAATCAATTTAAGAAAGCTTTCAGAAATTTCTCAGTTAACTTTAAAAGCTCTGCTCGAACTCAGCTGGAGTCGTGTAGAACCTGAGATTGACATTAAAAAAATCAAGCTAATCGTGCGCTGCTTGAGCTTACCTCCATATATGCTTGTTCAAGCTCGTGCTCCATCATAATAGGCCAAGCTCGAACACCAATATAAAGCTTGTTATAAATTCAGAAAAAGTTTGAATTAACTGTAGCAATTTTGGGGAACTGTTGCTTGTAAGTGTTTTAACTGATACTAGTTGCTGCGATTTTTTGGTTTCATATTGTTGAATCTCGACTTTTTCTGTAATGTACTCTGGCCTTGTTAAATGTAGTTACATGGTTATGAAGAATCAGAAGCTACATCAACAGTTTGATGCTGAGGCTTCATCTTCTTCAGTTAGTGGTGCTTGTTCTGGAAAACCCATATTTGATGGAGTATCTATTTTTGTTGATGGATATACAGTGCCTTCTAGCCAGGTGATGCCAAATTCTGAGGTTATATGTTTCTCTCTCTTCCTTTTATCTACATTTTTGTGTTCTATCTGTGGATTATGTTTCTTATGCTCTTTCTGTACATGCCCAACCCATGTGCTTGGAACTGGTGCTTCCATTTCTGAACTTCTGTACTTGTTTTCTTGGCCCTATTACTTTACCTTTGGAGTGTGGTTCATGCTGACGTAAATCTTTTCAGGAACTAAAAGGTTACATGTTGAAGTATGGAGGACGCTTTGAGAATTACTTTTCGCGCCATCATGTTACTCATATTATCTGCAGTAATCTTCCTGACAGTAAAATTAAAAATTTAAGGTTCCGCACTCATCTTTACATGATTCAATTTCAAATTGATGCATTGAAATTTTGTGTGCTTCAAAAGAACTTTGCCTGTTACAGGTCCTTCAGTGGCGGACTTCCAGTTATTAAACCTACATGGGTGCTGGAATCTGTTGCTGCCAATAAATTGTTAAGCTGTGAGTTGGGTTTCATTATTTCATCGTCTCTGGCCAATTCTGCAATGAAATCTTTCAGATGTAACTTTGTAGTAAATGATAAACTCTAATAGGTTATTCAACCATAGTAGGATATTAATTTGTTTGAGAAATCTGAAGGAAGTTATTAGAATTCGTTCTTATTGCCTACTTTCCTTTGATTGATTTGTTTACCTAGTATTGATGACTTATAGTGAAGGGGACAGAGAATTGTTGAAGCAATGGAGTAGAAATAGTCTGTATCTGTAATTAAATGTGTTGGAAGTTCTAATTACTCCATTTTACAGTATCCACAACCCGGTTCTGGTTAAACTCGTTAGACCTTGTTTGCCGCATTTTTTTTCAAAAGGAAAGGTGAAAATTTCAGAAAAAAACAGAAAGCTGATATGTACTCATTAATCTTTTGAGTTTCCTTCAGGGATACCTTACCAGCTTGATCAACTTGCGAGTGAAACCAAGAAACAACCAAAATTATCAGCATTTGGTTTCAAATCTGGCCCAGTCCTTGATGATTTGGAAGAATCTATAAGTGGCCAAGCGGTGCCTCAATCTGGTATTGCAACATTGAGGACTAGCTGCAGTTTGGAAGCTAATATATTTGGCAAGGCTGAATGTACTGAAGAGGTAGAGGAGTGTCATTCAGTTTCTGATGACCCCTTTCATCCAAATGCTGCTGAATCAACAGATCAAGCACCAACTTATTGCATGGAAAATCACTGTGAGGTGGAATTGGATGCTGCTGTGGTGGGTCAATCCGATGCTGGATATCATTCGCACATAAGTCCTTGTCAAGATCCTAAGTCAGACCATAACGACTGCTTGGAAGATCACATAATTGAGGAGTCATCGAGTTCCAAAACCATTAGGCCCAGTACAACAGGGCATTCAACTCTTTCAGATGCAAATTTTGTGGAAAACTATTTTAAGGTTAATGTTGTAAAATTTTTCATGCTCTTCATACTTGCTGTTATTTGTAGCTTATTTGCAGATTCATATTGTTCTCATAGTCTAAACTATTCTTTAAGGCCTCTTGAAGAATCTGTTGCCTTTTTTACCAAATTTACTTCTAGAAGCATTTGGTAAAACTTAACATTCAGTTTTTGTAGTAGAGATTTTCGGTCAAGGATGTAGAAAACTCAAGTTTAGCTTTGATTTTAAACGCATTTCACCATCCAAAGCTTTCACTTTGTCATTTTCTTTCTTCTTGCTTTACTTGTCGCTCAAATAAACTCCATTTTTTTATAAAGCACTTGATTGGTAATGTATAGTTCTGATTTTCTGTTTTCCCTTTTTTTTTATTGATAAAGGAATTACATTGCTATGCTGCTCTTCTTTTTTTTATTGACATAATGGAAGTACTTGTAGATGTCTACAACTAATTGATCTTTGGTCGTTTCAGTTTTCTAGGCTGCATTTTATTGGCACTTGGAGAAACCGTTATCGTAAACGTTTTCTGAGCTCTGCTAATGGTTTTAAGGATATGAATCCCAGTCGTAATGCTTTTGCAACATCCCAGAAAACTACCATTATCCATGTGGACATGGTAAACTCTCCAAGGCAGTATTTTACATGTCTTCACTTATTTACTTTTTTTAAAGGTGGCGCAATGTAAGGAGTTTTGTCCAAGTATCTCAGCTTTAACATTCTTTTAAACATTGATGTCTCTTTACAGGATTGCTTCTTTGTATCAGTGGTTATTAGGAAGCACCCTGATTTGAAAGATAAGCCCGTTGCTGTTTGCCATTCAGATAATTCTCGAGGAACTGCTGAGATTTCTTCTGCAAATTATCCTGCTCGAAATCATGGTTTGTCTAACTTGCAGCGGTGCTCTCTTCCAATTATGTAGTTTTCACTTTCACCAGATTGATAAATTACTTTTTAGGGGTGAAGGCTGGAATGTTTATTAGAGATGCTAAGGCCCTTTGTCCTCAGCTTGTCATTTTGCCATATAATTTTGATGCTTATGAGGAGGTGTGTATTTAGTCTCTAACTTAAAGTAAGATAAATGTTAAGGAAGGTGTCTTATAAATGTGCCTTCTGTGTTAGCTGTGTTGTCATATGAGGTCTATTTGCTTTTGGATGCAGGTGGCTGATCAATTTTATGATATTTTACATAAGCATTGCAACAAAGTGCAGGTCTGCTCATGGGAACTTTTATCAGAAACCTCAGTTATTATCTTAGTCGTGTTCTGAATTTGTAACTCTTTATGGTCAGGCTGTTAGCTGTGATGAAGCATTTATAGATGTCACTGACTTAAGAGTAGAGGATCCTGAGCTTTTTGCGAGAGCTATTAGGACAGAGATTCATGAAACCACAGGATGCACTGCGAGTGCTGGAATTTCTGGGAGTATGCTTATGGCTCGTGTCGCAACAAGGATTGCAAAACCAGATGGCTTGTGCTACATTCCTTCTGAAAAGGCATGCATTCCAACATCTTTTGATCCTTCAACTAAGAAGAAATCATTTCCATCCCTGCTGTCTCAAATTAGATGCTGCTACTTTGTGAAATGGTTACTATTCTTTTCTTGTTCTTTTGACACTAGTATCCTGGTATATAGCAAAGCTGCAATTATGAAGCTGATAAATTAGGCTCCGTTTGGATCAGCTGTTTTTTAGGTTGTTTTGATTGGCCATTGTTTCAAAAACAAGTTTTTCAAATACAATGCTACAGTAATACACAATAATTCAAAAAAATCTCCTCCATACAATATATCAAATATTTCAAAAAATTTTTATAGTAAAAATTTTTCTTCTACACTGCTAAAGTAAAATTTTTCAAAAACACCCCCAAAAACTAATCCAAATGAACCCTTATTGTAGCAATGTATATGAAAAACTTTTATTGTAGATGTTTTTAGTGGTGTGTTTGGAATATGTTTTGGAGTATTTTTAAGGTTTAAAAATTTTTAGAATATTTTAAAAAAATTAATAATACCTCCCACCACAGCTACCACTGCCTCTCTCTTCCTCCTCCTTCATCCTCCCCTTTCTCTTTCCCACCACATCCCGCCCTTCCCCTCCCTCTCCTCGATTTGGCCTCAACCAAATCGAGGCCTCGGGTTGCAGCCAGATTGGGGAGGGAATGGAGGGGAGGTGTGGATGTAACGAGAAAGGGGAGAGAAAAGAAAGGGGATGAGGAAAGAGAGGGAGGAGAAAAAGAGAGCGAGGATAGAGAGGGAAAGAGAGGGAGGAGGAGGGAGAGGATGGTGGTGATAAATGGAAGAAAAAAATGGTGTAGATTTTATTTTATTTTATTTTTGTATATTTGGAATTATTTTTGATATATTGTATGACTGTGGTGTTTTTGAAGTTGTTTTTGTTATGTATTATTATCCGTTTGGATTAACTGTTTTTGGGGGTGTTTTTGAAAAATTTTGCTATAGCAGAGTTTTTAGATTATATTTTGGGATATTTTCAGAAAATATTTTGGGATATTTAAAAGTAGAAGCTAGAATATATTTTGAGATATTTTTTAAAATTTTAAAAAAATTTAAACTAATTTTTAGATTACTTTTTAAAAATTTTTGTTGTATTTGAAAAACTAGTTTTTGAAAAACACTCCCATCCTTTAGAGCGGCGGCAAAAAATGAAGAATCCAAATAGAGCCTCACTTGTTCAGTAAGTCTCCTTGTTTTTTTTGGGAAGGCTACTTTTGTAGAATAAATAAATGAAGACAATTTGGACCATGTTCTTGTCATGTATTTTGATCTATTAAAGTTCTTGTTTTATCTAAGACAGAATCATATCTTCCTGTTGTGTTTCATAGTCTTATTTCTTGGGAATTTCTTCCTCATTGAAGTGATTTTGTAGAGGATTATTGTTTATCTTACAATAGTTTTTATTTCCTTATTTTTTTCCTAGGAATGTTTTATAAGTTCCTTTCCTTAAATTCAAATCTGAACTTTGGTACTTTTGAGGAGGCTTCTGGGTTGGGGGATTTTCTTAACAATAACAGCTAGGCTCTCCAAAAAAGCATTGATCACTCAATCTCTATATCTTTCTTTCCTCCTTCTCTTCATGAAGCCAGTTTATTTTACGTAACTCTCTCTTTTTCAAACCAGTTCTGCAAGTAGTATTTCACTTTTAACTCTTGGAAGACTTGAAGACTTCAGTGGAGATATAAACACTAGAAGCAATTCTTAAGATTTCCAGACAGTTTGTGCTCGGCTGTTATTGAGACTTCTTGTGCATTCTAGGTGGATGATTATTTGCATGAGCTTCCAGTTAAAGCACTTCCTGGAATTGGTCATGTTTTAGAGGAGAAATTGAAAAAGAAGCAAATAAATACTTGTGGCCAGTTACGTTTGATCTCCAAGGTTATTCCCTCATCTCCGGCTTTTAATTAACGCACTTGATGCAGTATTACTTCATGTGAACTTTCTTTTCAATATTTAGTCTGAGTTGCTTGTATAAGAGAACTACTGTAATGAATTCTACCATTGGTGTGAGAAATTTGTCCTCCAAACCTACTCTAGTTGCCTTTTTCTGGAGTACTCCAAACTTGTTTGTCAATGACTGGCATTTGAAATCCTTCTAGAACTAAGAAATGATGAGAATTATTGAGTTTTAGTGTCTTAGACCATAAGCGGAGGTGCACAGCTCTGACACGTCATTTTGCTGCAGATATAACTACCATGAAAAATAGCCTAAACAGTGATTTGGGTTTGTAGAGTTAGATATGCTGTTTTGATTCAGAGGTGGTAGGGATGGGTGGTATGTGGTTCTCATGGACACACTTTGTCAACAGAAGTACTCTTGTTGTGAATTCATTTCCACTTGTGTGCTGTCATAATTAGAGAGATGATCTGGTTAGGAACTTTTCATTATTTATTTCCTACTTCTGCTTTAGCATTTTCATGTGAGAGGAGATGTAGAAACAGGTTTGGCTCACCATAGACAAATGAAGAAATACAGTTTGAAACATTAAATACTAGATTAAACATGAAATCCAGCGGAACTAAGTTAATTGTTTATGGGATTATGCACATACTAGGATTGTCTTACTGATGAGTATATATATTTGGTGGAATCATACATGATGGTTCTGTCTGTGCCCATTCTGCTTTTTACAGGAATCTCTTCAAAAAGATTTTGGTGTGAAAACAGGCGATATGCTCTGGAATTTCAGCAGGGGGATTGATAATCGGTTGGTTGGAGTGTTTCAGGTTAGCAAGTAAGAGTAATTTATTTGGCTTTTGGAATGCTTCTTGGTGTTTTATGTTGGAAGCAAGTTGGTCCATCTGGAATTATAGTTTCAGACTTTTACGTAACAATTCACACTGAAGAGATGCACTTTTTCTTCTTTCTTTTCTTTTCTTTTCTTGGGGTTTTGGGTGTCAGAGGTGGCGTGTGTGTATTTGTGCTCCTCTCACTAATGATTTTGCTGTAAACAGCATTTCTTTCTTACACAATGTTTCTGTCACTTAAAAGTCTGAAACTGTTCATGCACTAATAGTATCAGGAGTTTATCTTGGGATTGATTCTTGGAATTGCTAAACATGATGTTATGTTTTGTTATCAAAGTTCACTCTCATTTCTCCAAAGTCGTCAGTAGAAATCTTACTCTTTAACTCCCTGGACCTTCCATTTTATGTGAAGAATATTCTGTGGGTCTGCAAGACACAAATTACTACTAGTTGTTTGCTTTATTTGTTGCCAAAACGTTAAAAAGAGTTAAATCTTGGGCATGATGTGAACTTAGAGGAGTTGGTTGGCTACTTTTCATCCCCTCTTCTTGTCTTGTAATCGAGAAAGTATGAACTAGTTTTGTGGACCTTGCTGGTGAAATTCTGATGATTTATACTTCACATTGGTCTTAGTTGACAGGAAGAATGATGGAGTGCTCTGCTTCATAAGTTTCCTCTTTCTTTCACATTCTACATGCTAAGTTGATTTCTATGCCACTTCATTTAAATGGGGATACTGTTGTTTTGCGCAGGAAAGCAAATCCATTGGTGCGGACGTGAACTGGGGTGTGAGGTTCAATGATTTGAATGATGTTAGAACTTTAAGCTTGATAAACTATATATGTACATGTTTGATGTATAAGTGCCTTTCTAGATATTTTAGTCTTGTAATTTCTTGTTTACCTGCCCTAAAACCCCAACTGCTTCGAAAGTGACCAAGTAGAGGGATTTAGGGTGGCCTGGGGAATGGGGATAGAGAGGGAGTTTGCACATTATTTCACTTGTCTGACTGATCAAATCGTTATGCCTGTGATTCCAGATGAAGGATTTCTTATTGAAGCTTTGCAAGGAGGTGTCATTACGATTGCAGGGATGCGGACTTAAAGGCCGCACCATTACCTTGAAGGTTTTCATGATAAGACTATCTCATGCTTACATTGTTAAATTGTCTTGATTGTTTTGGGTACAGATAATTCTCTCAATTATGCTGTTTGTAATTCAGATAAAGAAGAGAAGAAGTGATGCTGGGGAGCCAGTGAAGTATATGGGCTGTGGTGACTGTGAGAATCTAAGTCGTTCTGTCACGGTAGAGAATTCGTAACTTAGCTGCAAGTTATGCTATATGTTACATATGTATCAGCATGAGTTCTTGACCATAAGCCTGAGGTCTTATTTCATTGCTGGAATTCTAGCTCCCAATGGCTACAGACGACGTGGATGTATTTCAGAGGATAACAGCTCAGCTTTTTGGATATTTTCATATAGGTAGTTGAATTACTCTGGTTGTTTGTCTTTTCTTGTTATTGTTGTTGATAAAAGTTTCAGACATATGCATTTTGTTTGATTGCCTTTCTCAGCATCTTTAATAATGTAAATTTGCAGTTATTTGCAATTTGTTCTCTTAAAATTCCTCCTCTTACTAGGCAATGCAAGTGTTGTACCAATATGGCTTAAGTTTACTGGAATTACTTGTGGAATTCTGACACTGAATCTGGTTCATTCTTTGTTATTATATGCATACCCTTCTTATTCATCATTCTTACTCTTCGCAGTTCTCCAATGTGTTTACAGTCTTCCTGTGTTACAGTAAGAAGGTCAAGGGCTCAATAAATTCATATAAGTAGCTTTAATTTTCTGTTTCTTCTTTCCTCTGTAATAACTGTTTCTTGTTAGCTCAGCTGGATTTTATTGCTGATGCAAGTGATCCATTTTCTTGTAGAATGCACTATATGGCTTTATGTTTGTCTTTGTTGTGCTTGATGGCATTATGCTTGCATCTTAATTATGATTTGAGTTTTTCAACTTCAACATTAGAGCCTTTCAACAATTATCTATGAAACCTTTCTCAAGAAAAATCCTATTAGCACTCTTTTGTTGACTTCAGCTTGAGCTGATCCTGGATTTATTTTTCTCACTAGGTAGTTTATGTCATGTTAACTCCGTGTACATCCCCAGTTATTAGTTGACTAATTATGTCTCACCATCTTCATCCTCAAACTTGGCAATCAAAACCTCCCTGGTCAAACTCTAGGTGTGTTAGGGTGGCATGTTTTAAAAAAAACTAAACATTCTCTAACCACCTTTTGATCTCAAATACGCACTTTCCAATTATGTGCTACAAGAAAAAATTTTCTGAATACACCTTTGAAATTTCCATGGGCTCCTGAGGACACTTGCAATTCACTGTTCTTTGAATCCACATTTTTTCTTGAGCTGCTGAAATTGGATAACCAAAGAAACCTGAATCATGTAAACGAATGTCAAGGAATTGTCATAGATCACATCATATTTTGAGTTCTTGTTGTAGTCTGCATTCTTGGTGTTTTCTTTTCCATATTTATACAATCTTGTCAGTGTAAAAGATTATTCTTAATTTTGGGAAATTTATATGCTGTTTAAGTGCTAGTATTTGTTCCATTTTGTCCAGCAGTCTAATTAGTTGATTTGTACAGATGCAAGAGACATTAGAGGAGCAGGCTTGCAGGCATCTAAACTTGAAAGTGCTGACAGGAATATACGAGGTTTGACTTTAGTAATAGGCAATGGCAGTTCCTATGCTATATCTCATTTTGCTATTCATTTTAATATCTGTCATTTGCGTTGATGTGCTGGTTTCCCCATCTAGATATTCAATATTATATTTGACATCTCAATTGGCCTTATACAACTGATTTCATTGACTGAATATGAAGGGCATGAGAAGTACTCCATTCGATCTTGGCTAGTCTCCTCACCAGCAAGGAAAAGTAGTATGGGCAAAGGTGACTGAAACTTTTTGGTGCTTTTATGGATTTTTAAAGTTGAACTTTTGTCATAGATGTCATTGATTATTTGTATCAGAATTTGCACAAACTGGTTCTTGATGCTAAACCTTCACCCCGGTGGCTATTTTTTTCCTTCAAGATTCATGCAGGTTATCTTTGTTATGTCCTTAAGATTTCTTTTAGTAAAGTCTCTCTTTTCCAGGTTTAGTGTTTGGGAAAATAAGATGATTTTTCAGAAATTATTTCTTTTTCTGGCTTTTCCCTATTATTATATTATTTGGTTTCACAAATGTTATACGGATGTGGTCGGTAATGTCAAGCAATTGTGCCAAATAATTGACCATGTTCCCCAAACATTGCTTCTGGCTGGCATTAATTCCTTTTTGACTCTTTTGGACCTTTGCTTCTCTTTCAGTCTTATATTTGATAGTTTGATAATTTCTTTGTAACAAATTAAAGAAAAAAAAATTCAACTGTTTCTTAAATGAATAATGGAAAGTGGACTCCTAGTGCTGGCGCATGTTACTCCTCCCACTGCTTGGTGTGATGGGTTGTCTATTCCAATGTCAAGTGGTGGAAAGCTTTGGATTGAAGAATTGTTATGGAATATGTTCTACTTATTTGTTGTGCTTCTGTTGTTGCCTTGGTTCCAGATGTTAGTGAACATATGAATGGTGCAGGCAAGGGTGATCAGTTATACTCTGATATTGGACCTCCAGTTCAAGCGAAGGGTAGTTTTTCCGGTGGGGAAGCACATGTTGTGCATCGTGCAACTCTCCCTGCTCTACATGAGCTTGATGTTGGAGTGATAGAGTCTCTTCCTCCTGAAGTTTTATCAGAGATTAATGATCTGTATGCAGGGGAGTTAATAAGCTTCATTTCCAAGAAGAAAGAGAAAAATGCTGGGAACAGTAAGACTGTCATGATCCCTTACAGTACTGAAGGTGATAATATTTTAACTGCCTACCTAATATGATCTTTTTTCTTTCAAATTCAGATGTGATGGATGAAGAACAATCTCTTTCCAATCCATTGGTGCCCCCAAACAAGGATTTTGTTCATGATGCGGTAATCCGTTGTACTTTTGTACTTCAGCTGCTTAATAGTATTTTTTTTGCTTGGTTTCCTTAAAATAAGAAGTTTAGAATAGAATGTACTCAAATAGAGTAATAATTTTCTTGGAACTTGGTTTGAGACTTGACCTCTGAAATCCTTTGTACTATTTTATGTGCAACTTGCTTCACATGTTTTAATAGTATTTTTTGCTTCATTTCCTTAAAATAAGAAGTTTAGAATAGAATGTGCTAAAAAAGAGTTATAATTTTCTTGGAACTTGGTTTGAGACTTAACCTCTGATGTTTGAGATGTTCGTGTTTTATCTGAAATTTGTGACTTTGACTTTTGTCAAAATTAAGAAGCCCTAGAACAAATTGGCAGCATTTTTTAGTGTGTGTCAGTTCGACCATTTAATTAAGAGTTCTATCAACATGACCTCCTAACTCGACATATCCCAAACAGAAGGAGAAAAAGGTAGGAAAAAGTTATTGTTTCCCTTCTGTTGCAATACATGGTTTATGGTATGCTGTAGTTCTACCTTGTTTAGTTGGTGCATATGTTTGGATATTGATATTTTACATTTGCATCAACCATTGATTCCTGTAGATATGAACTTTTGGTTTGTTCCTGTGACAGTGTTTGTCTACATTTTTTCTTTCTTTAGTTGAAACTCAGGTTTCTTTGGCGTTTGTTGGTATTGTAATCAAGAAAGTATTCCTTTGGAGAGATGTGTTATAATTTCTCCTTAGTCCTTTTTAAAGATATTGCAATACTGAGGATAAACAGAGCCCATGAATTGCTTCTAATACCTGACTTAGAGCGTGCTTATACTTAATTAAATTCCTCATTGTCATCATTATTGTGTCAATGCACTTCTGTGTCATTTGTGCTAGTTTATAGCTACTGAAATGGTATTTTCTGGCATGGCACTTGAGTTGGCTAGGAGTTCCTGTTTTGGATATTAAGAGTCATATATCTGTCAAATGCTCAATTAGTTTCCAGTTAATTTTTCATTTGCACTTTTCAGGCTGAAAAGATCAAGTCATCTGAGAAAGAAGATGAACAGGTTTGTGGTTATTTATATTTGATTCTCTCTCTCTCTCTCTCTGTGTCTCTCGCTTTCTGCATAATGTTTTAGTGATTAATATTTGCATTTGTTTGGCAAAGCAGTATATAAACAAAATGATCCAAGGGTTGCCAGAAACCTCTGGGTCAGTTACTGCTCTACTTCCAGAGACAGACAGCCTTATGCCATCATCATTAAGTCAAGTCGATTCATCAGTGTTGCAGCAATTGCCTGAAGAGCTTCTAGCAGACGTACTTGTGTCTCTTCCTGCCCATAGGAGGCCAGATTTTATGTCAAATGATGTATACTTGGACCATATTAGGGATCAGACTGGAGCAATTGATTTCCTGCCGAGCAATAATCTCTGGGTTGGAAATCCACCAAGATGGGTTGACAATTTTAGACTCAGCAGTTGTCAGCTGTTGAATCGAATAGCAGTTTTGTACAACAAGTCTAGCCCTCGTGGTCAGTTTTCATCTGTATTGCAGCTTATTATGTCTGAGTATCCCTTAGATGATGGAGGGGATGACGCAGTTAATTGCTTGTGTGAGCTGATGAAGCAATATATTAAGCTTAAAATTGAAACTGATGTTGAAGAGATATATACTTGTTCTTGCCTTTTAAGAAGGTGAGGATTCAGATTAACTTGGTGCATTATCTGTGCAAAGATTTTGTGTACTTATGACTGAATCTAATTGTGATAACAGGTTGACTTCGAGGTCAGAATTGTTCTTACAGGTTTATAATTGCATCATTCCTCACCTTCAGGTTATTCTGGCTTCTCTCATATTATTATACACTCAGAATTGATAGTCTTTATCTTATTTGCCTGTATTGCTAGTTATTTGATTTCCTGTTCGATGGGATTTTTCTTGGTAATATGATAAATAATGGAAGCTGTCATCCAGAAAGAATGCAATTTTATTAGTGGATAGTTAAAACTAGAAAAATGTCGTGGAACGTCTAGAAGAATTAGTAATATATTATATACCAGTTGAATGTTTGCTGTCTATTCGCTCTTCCATCTTAAGTTTTATCCCAAAAATCATAGTAATATGTTTCATTTCTAATTATGTATAGGTATTTTACTGTCACATTTACTAGTTTCACCTATGACACCACTCCTTATTAATTGTCGCCACTTAATCACTATTCTGACTTTTGTTGTTAAATTCTTCTTTGATTATATAAACTTAACTATGGATGTTCATTTGCTGTTTGATTCAAATCTTAGGCTGCTGTTGGAGAAACCTACGGTGGAGACCTCAATATTTGTTTCATAGAGTAGTGTTTTTGGCACTTCAGTGATTCCATTTCTGTAATCCAAATGATGCAAGTCTTCATGTGAGAGAACCATTCTCGTTCATTTCTCATTTGCTGAACGCTGAAGGTGAGTTAATTTAGAGTTTCAAAGTATTCTCTGCATGATGGACTTTTTGTCTTTGAAGAATTCTTGCTATTGCTAGATGTTCGTTCTTGGGTGTCCTATGTATATTTCTGCCTTGAAAGGAAAAGGTTAGGACTTAGGTCTGCTCTGAAGGTAAAACCTTGGTCTTCATAAAAGATGAAATGACTGGAAATACAAGTGTCAGATGAACTTGCTGAACTTTAAATCCTTGTGGTTATCATATTCTAACAAGACTGGGTGCTCTACACATTCTCAGAGCATGACTGGGACCAAGATGGAGGTTTTAACGGGGGAATACCTGGCATGGTGATTTTTTGTTTTGCCATAACTTGGGGAATGCTGTTCTTTGTATGGCTATTGTGCATCTGAGAATTCACCGATTCTTGAAGACAGATAATTGTGGTATTTGAGGTCCCAAGACGGATTTGAACTGGTTATAGGTAACAGTTTATGATGTTTTGAGTTCCTGCTATTTTAGTCTTCAATTGTTGCTACTGGAAAAACTGATACACGCCCAACAAAATGAAAAGGGGGAGTTGGGAGTTACAAACTGCTTTTGGTCCCCTATCAACACCTTCACTAGGTGGACATTTGTGGAATTTGTACTGCATCAAATGAGGGCAATTGTGGAATTTAAGTTGAGGTGTGCCTCTGTCCTCTTCTCTCACAAACTCTCCCATGCCGACTGATGCACCGAACCACCGATTTAATTCCCCTAAGTGCCGCCCGCCAACTCTCCCCTTTCTCCTTTCTCCATCACCCCTCCTCATCACCATTGGGAAGAATATTAGACAAGGAAAATTGACCTACTTGCAGATGCAAGATTTGGCGGTAGCCATCATATTCTCCGCCGGCCTTCCGATTCTCAATTACCACCAATTAAAAATGCATCTTGTCCCTGGCCCACCACTTCCCTCTTTTCTGCCAAATAATTGTTGGCTTCCCCTCCATCCGTAGATCCAATATGGCTGGTTATTGGAGATAATTCAGGTTAGTTAGTCAACTATATATGCTCTTACATTTTGTTTTGATTTTTGATTTTGATGGTGGTGAATGTGTTTGGTGTAATATTGCTTGATTTTTTTGATATACTATTTGATCAGACTAGTAGGAATAATATGGGTTCTAAAAGAATAAGACTATGCTTGTGTATTAGTCTTCATGTAATACACTCCATAGGTATGAATGCTATTCTGTGGTATATAATTATGGTAATTGCTGATGCCATGAGTGTTAGCATCTAAATTGCAGAAAGCTGGTCAGTCCAGCATGGCAGCTGTTTATTCTTCGACCCTGAATTCCTTTCTTTAGAATATGAAGATTTTCCAGTAACTAATGCCTTTGCTAATATGCTTAGAATCGGTCAATTTTATGCCTGGGTGACCTGCTGCGTATGAATTTAATCTCTTGAACTTTATCCTCTGTGTTGGCGCTGCACAATCTTTTATGCAATTATATGTTCCTTGGACAGGCAATTGAGCTAATCTGTTCTGTTTCTATTAATATTTGCATCTACTTGGGAAGAATTTATAATTTCAATTTTGCTCAATGGATTAACCATATCCCAAACCTCCTGTTTTCCTTTGATAGCTTATTAACTAGAATTTAACGTTCATGATTTTTTTTCCTTCACATTTGAATAATTTCTACTAGAAATGTGACCTCACATTGAAGGCTCTTACCGTGTCCTACTGTTACTTGGCACAAGATATATGTTTTGTAGGTTAATTTCCATGGAAATTGAATTACCAGTTGACAATTTACACTCCCTTATCTTAGGGAGTTTAAAAGTTATAATAATCAAAATTCATTTCCATTTTATTCAGAGTTCAGTTGCAGTATAAAATAGGTGCTTGATTGTAAAAAATACTGTACTCGCTTTTTTTTTTTTTTAAATTAGCTTAATTTTTTTATAAAATAATTCTAGTCCTGATTTATCAGGGCGTACTTTTGATGATGATTATGCATGCTGTCTGGATCTTTATTTTTATTCTAAATGGAACATTTGTGACCATGAAATCTACAATATATATTGGTTGATCGGGAATCTTTTTTGCCAGTGCCATGCTTCATAATTTATGCCTCAATGAGGAAAAAATTGCTTTACATATTCAACATTGAATATGTGCAAAAAATTTAATTTTTTCTGTTTATTATTTTGCTATATTTAGTAGAATGATTGATTGAAGATTTCATAATAAAGGCTTTACAAGTAGTAATGATAATTGCTGGATGCCAAAAAAAAAAAAACTCTTTTTATAGTACTTTTTGTCTGTGCTTGCTTTGTATTCATTTTAGACTGTTGTAATCATTTATTACCTTTTTTGCTGTTCAGAATTAAAATCCCCTTCTTTCACTTTTACCTTCTACCACCAAATGTCATTTCTATAGATGTACCAGTTTCTTGGTTGAATTGAAACCTTACAAATTATTGGCTACGGTACCTTTTAGCAATTGTTTAGCAATCATGTCCCTTATTTAGTTTTGATTTGCCTTTTTTTTTTTTTTATTTATTTATTCCCAGGCGTACACAAATGGGAGACCAAGAATAGTCATTGAAAGAAAACAACTATGACTTCTACGCGGTTGTTTTCCTTAGCTGTTGTTTTCTTATCTCAGCTACATATTATTGTCATCGCAGCGACTTCATTAACGCCTGGTAGAAGTGGATGATGCAATCGAAGAGAATCGTGCCTTGAATGACATTGACGACCACCAACTCCATTAAGGTACTTGATTTACCAACTTTGATTTGGAGGAGTTGCGATGAATGTGGCCATGCACCAAAATGGTTTCGCCTGATTGCTGCCATGCAGTGTGTATCCACTATGATTGGTTTTACTTGTTTCAGAGATTGAGTACCTTAATGCTGAATGTAATGAAATTATTATTTATGGGGAGTTTAAGACCAGCAATATCCTCCTTGACAAAAAACATACGAGCAAATATTCGTCCCTAAATTTTTTTGCCGTGTCAATTTAGTCAATGTATAATTTTTTTAGCCAATTTAATCCCTATACAATCACAAAACAGAGAGCATCTTGTATTCAAACCAAGGCTCTAGCAAACAAGCGGAATATAGAAATCCATTAAAAACCCATTAAAAAGAGAGCAAAGAGTTGCATGGAAAGACAAAAAGACCTGAGCTTGATGATTTATTCATTTGCATTCTCCCATTCTTCGACCAATTAACAAAGTTGCTATATCCGTCTAATGATTGTGACACACCAGTAAAATCATCTTTACAAAATTGTCAAAATCCCATTTCATCAAAATCAAGAAGCAACAGAAAATTCCCGAATTTTAGAATCACTGCACGAGATAAGGAAGAAATGGACGCACCTGTCGTGGTAAAACTGAAGCAAGAAAGGGAAAGTAGCACCACAATGGCACATGCTGTAAATTTGGATAGGGATCTAAAGCAGGAAGAATCCATATTTGTTTTCAGCAGCAAGTTTTCTTGTTTGGCCACCGCTCAACAGCACAATTTTGTGCTGAAGACCCATCAGTGAACTACCAAAAATACCCTTGCTTAATTGCTCAATTAATGACTTGATTGAATTTAGATGGTGGCGCCGCTATGGCATTCCTCAATTGGAACCGCTAAATAAGTATAAGAATCAAATTGACCGAAAAAATTATACATGGACTAAATTGATACGGCCAAAAAAGTTTAGAGACAAAATTGGCCATTTTTCCTATTTTGAATTGTGATCTTTTAAAACTACAATATGTGGAGGTTCTCATGTATCCAGCATGCAACTCTCTGTTGACACTAAATATTCCTTCTTAACAAATTGACGGAAACCTTGGTAGCGTGGGTCCCTGCTTTAACTGTCCTCTCTAAAAAGACGTGCTAAAAGGTAGACCATGACTTTTTTTTTTTTTTCAAACAATAAAATTACGGAAACTGTGTTTTTTTTTTTTATTGAAGCTCTGTGCCGATGCCTTCGTTGGTAATTTGAGTTCTGCAGTACACTGAATGCGACCAAGGTGCTCCCAAGGTTTTCACAATTTTACGGTCGGGTGGGGCTGCTGCTTCAGTAGAACGCTAGAATGGACCATTTCAATTCTAGCAGCGGAAGGACAAAGTCGTCGGAATGTTGTCAGGACGCCCGCTTGGAGGAAGCTATTTTGGCATCCTTCTTGTGGTATCACGTTGTTTTCTTATTGTTCATATCATAAATTCACGTTGTTTTCTTTTTTCTAGTACTGGTTTAAGAGGCCGCTGATTACAAGTAGTGCGTTTTGTTCTCGATGTGTTTGTTTTCCTTTCTTTTGGGGTGTCATTGAGAACCTTAAATTGGGTTTAGAAAGTTATTTGTATATATATAAAATATCATAGTAAAAGAGTGTAACATGTGCATTTACTTGACTGAAATTGAGTGTACGAAAAAAATTTCCAACATTTGACCATAAATCAGGCGTTGCGGGGCGGACAAATCTATCGCCTTGACTAACAAATATTTGAATGTGGACTTGTAAAATTATCTGGACCATGTGCGTTGAGATTGGAAATTAATATTGTTGTTTTGGTGGCATGCTGGAACCAGTCTTTTGTCTATTCAAACTCTCTTGGCCCCCGCACCACCCCGACCCCCAACAAAAAAACCAAAAAAAAAAAAAAAAGAAAGAAAAAAAAGAAAACAAATAGTGCTACCCTTTTATTTTATTTATTTACACTTTCAGTCACAAAATCCTTGTTGTGGCGCGCCTAATTATTGATCTTGTGCAAAATTGAAATAGGATGATAAATTGATAATATCTCTTGAAAGGATCAATTTGATTGGGAAAAGCAGGCATATTTAACTTGCCTTCCATTTGAAGAATTTGTCCGTACAATCTTTTTCAATAGGCTAAAAGCGGGCATAAATTTTTCGCTGAAGGCGTAAATCAAGTTAAAATGTTGTGTCATTTAGGATTGGAAACTTACACAAGACGACAAGAGAAAAAGTTAAAAATGGACAAAAGAGTGCCGAAATCAGGTGGAGCTGCCTGAGACGGAGAGACATCGATCTGCATCTGTGCGCCCAAGGCCCAACCGTGCTTTCCAACTTTTCTTGCCGCTAAATGCAAGTAACCTTGAAAAAGAACGCCTCGTCAAATTGTCAATGTGATCGTAGAGCTTACACAAAAGGCTGAATCCATTGATAAAAAAATTAATTTGCTAGTACGCCAGCAGTTTTTTTTTTTCAGAAAAACAGCTGAAGAAAAGCCACAAACTGTTCACATATGATACAGTGGTGGTAATATTTAACACATGGGACGGAGAGCTGTGTTTCGTCTAAACAGACGGGTTTATGTCGGGAAAAAAAAGGAAGAGGATCGCGTGATAGCGTTAGGTAAATAGATAGTGGTGTAAAAGTCTTTGATGCGCTCGGATTATTAGTGGAGCCTCAAAAGTTGTTGAAAAGCAGTCGCTACTGATTTGCCGTACACGCTCTCAATCCAAAATTTGCTATAAATGCCTTCCGATAGGAATATATCCTTCAAAGAGTTCGTAGCAGAATTTGACGGGACAACGAGACAAAGATGCTCGATTTCTTCCAACATCATGTTGTTACTCAAACTCGTTCAAACCTGAGCCCCGGGCATTCAAAGTAAAAATTCAGAACTGTGACCAGGAGCAGGTACTTTCCTATCCTTGCCCGCCAACCCAACCTACGATCGCCAAAGTCAAAACAAATACACGTTTCATCTCATCCCAATAACGCTTCCTTTAATCCGCCGGAGTATTGTCATTTCCACTCTTTCGGCTTTCACTCCTTATATAAGCTCAACAAGACCGACAAGCCTTGTCACAACAAACTCCTGTCTTGTCACTTGTCACTTGTGTTTCAGAGAGAGACTGATCACACAACCAAATAGAAGGGGAAAGAGATAAAACCCGGCCACCAACTATGAAGTACAACTACTCGTTCATCCTGGCAAATAATGCCATTTCTATCATCATATTCATATTCTTTATGTTGCTATCTTCCACCTCCGTGCCTGTTGATTGTACCAGACTTCTAAAACGGGATGAGTCTTTTTCGTCAGTGTTGGAGGGTTTCATTATGGGGAGAGCTTACTCTGGGCCGAGCCACCGTGGAGCTGGTCATTGACAATATGTTTCAGTACTCGATCAAGGTCCCAAACCGTCCTAATCCCCAGTTTTGTCCTCTTGGCAGTTGGAAGAGTTTCGTGGGTCTTTCGAGCTTCCTGACTCGTGTCAGCTTTTCATTCCTTCTGTTTTTTGGGGGCAGCCTTTCATTCTTTTGTTCTTCCTTCCCATTCTTTTGTTTTCTTTTTCTTTTTTTTCTTTTAGATATTATTCTCATGGTTATGGTTTTGGCCTTCCATGAACTTATCATGTACACATCCCACGTAAATTGTATAAGAAAAATATGCTGGTGGAGTTGCTATAAACAACTGCAAAAGAAACGGTTTCAGTTTTGCCTTTGATCACTGCCTCTTTTAAATTTTTCCCCCCCCTTAATGTTATAATCCATCTGGTCGATTTCTACTGTTCTACTTTAGTCCCAAGCTTAATATGTTTTCTTCTTCATTATTGCATGTACATGAAATCAATAATGCTAGATATGTAGTGTTGGAACTCAAAGCATATGCAAGCAGGCAGGAAGACATGGATCGAGCAACTTGTTATTTTGCTGGATCATTTCGATCTTAATTCGGAGTTTGTTTGCATGCGATGAATCATCAGTTGAAGACCAAAATTACTCCTTCCCTGAGAACGTTCAAAGTCATTCCTATCTCAATATTTTTAGTTCCTTGTGACTCAAAAGGCGATATGAAATTCTCCAAATAAAGGGTGGTGTGAATATGACAAATTAATGCGTCTGATTTTGGAGTATATATTTACCATAACGAGAGTTTACTGTTTATTTTATGCAGCGCTTATGTTTGACGTTGAATTTATGTATTTTGAGTTAGTCAACCGTTTGACCACGTTTTGTGCACATTAAGGAAATTCTGAGGCATCGATCATCTATTTGCTCTCTCCCAAATGTTAAATTATCTTAGTTGGAAATCGAAAGACAGACGGTAGTGTTCTTCCTGTACCGCGAAGACCTCAAAAAAAAAAAAAGTAATAATAAACATGAAGGTTTGAGCCCAAAGGCATCATCATAAGAGATACCACTCCCAACAACAGGCAATATTACTTTACAGGGTACCACAACTGAATTGATGCCCATGCAAAGAGAGAATCTAGTTGATCTGTTAAATACAGTTAATTATTAGAGACGTAAATATATATAATCTCCCTAGACATGCATGTCTGATATTTGCATGGACATATATATATATATATATATGTGTGTGTTCCATTCCAAAATTTGAGGTATCATTAGCTTCTCCCACAGAGAAATTAGTGAAGAAGGCATCCACATGACCAAGTAAACGCTGGCAACTAGATTAAGAGTCCCAAGCAGACCTGCTGCAAATACAGTGCCACTACTTTCCTTTTCATGCTAAAACCTCTCGTGAACAACTTGAAACCTCTGGTGAACTTGATCAGCCTCAATCTCCAAGGTGTTGCTAAATCGGTCTCTTTAAGATTTTCAAGAACTTGGCTCCCAAGTCCAATAATAGGCAAACGTTTGCCTCTCGAGCACAATCACTTGTACGAATGATCTTGTTTGCTTTGGCTGTATTTTTTTTTTTTTTTTGCCGGCAACAATAATAATAATATTTGTATATACATTCTATTCTAAAGGAAGAAAAAGTGTAAAAAAACTGTATATAATCTTATACAGGTGAAGTTTCAACTCCCGATTTACAGTTCAAGGAGGGATTTAAATTTCCTTTTTTCCCCAAGGTCTTGCTCCACCCTTTCATGACATGACGGCCATATATCCTAGCAGATTACGTACGTAGCAGATCTTTTTTAATTTTTCGTTCTCTTTCTGTTTTTCCAGATGATGGCATGACGAATAATTTGATTAACCAGACGAGAGCAACGTCGTATACTATCAGACAACCAAATAAGAGAACGCAGGTCGATTGGAAGAAGTTTCAAATTTCAAGTCGTGCTCAAGAATTAATTTTGCATGCGATACCCTCGCAGGAATCTTTCAAGACTTAAAATTTAATTGATGTCGTGTTCCAAATTGGACGGCAACAACACTCCGTCCTTCTTCCTGATCCTATCCTAAAGAATAATTTCTCAAATTCCGGTATTACCTTTCCCATTTGTACCTATAACCCCCTGGCGGCTCTCGTACGTACTTGTTGACGTTGATGCGCGCTCTAGTTTTTTTTTTATTATTTTTTTTGGAACAAATAGTTTTCACCAGTCAAAAAAAATAATTACACATTAATTCGTAACCGATCGAGGACTTTTTCATTCTTCTCTTTTTATGCTTATACGGTTCCAGAATTCTTGATTCAAAAAATGAAATTAACGTAACGAGACGGAGTCGTGATGAGAAGCTAAGGCCGAGAAGAAATGGACCAAATCTGCATGCACCATAGTGGTTGACTTAGAATAGGTACTGCAACTACTGTATTACTATTTACTCCCATCATGCAGGCATCCCATTAACATTTAGTGATTTGTTGGTCAGCAGGCCGTAGTGCAGCATTATAAAGTAAAGTAATGTTTGGATTGGCTTGATTTCAAATAAAAAAATTTACTTCGTAAATTTCAACGACCTTTTTATTTTCCCAACCATCATTTTATCTCACATACATCACATCATAAAAAATACTACAGTAATTATCTCAAATAAATCATGCAAATAAACTCTTGTCCAAACAAACTCGTGACGCTGAATGACAAATTCTGCTAAGCATATCACATAATAGTTGATACTTTAAGACATGATTAATGTTTTCTAAGTACATAAATTGACTGTCCTGTGGTCATATTAATTGTACTCCCTCCCTTTTTTTTATAACTGACGTTTAAGGTTTTGCACACCAATTAAGAAAAGTTTTTCATTGCTTAAATCTGTACACTACTTTCCTTTTGTACCCTCATTAATTGTCCAATTCACTCATGTTTTCTCTCACTAGAATACGGAGGGGCAGATAATTACTAGAGTTGTTACAAAGAGAGAAGCAATAATTACTAGGAGTAGTAATTAAGAACCCTGTATTAGAAAAGAGAAATAAAAGGGTAAAATTGTGAAAAAATAATTAATACTGTATGGGGATAATAAAACGACAGATAAAAGTACACTAGAGCAAATTTCTTAAACGTCAGTTATAAAAAAAGGGAGGGAGTATTAATAATGATGGCTGCTGCCATTAGATGCTTAATGGAATCCTAATTAATCACTGGCTGGCTGCTCCGTAGTGATCTCCTTTCTTTCGCATAACTATATATATATATATATATATAGACATTTATTAGAGGCACCAGAGTCAAGATAACCTCACATTCTGGGTCAAGGCCGGCATTAATTTTCACAGCATCTAAATCTCATGCAAATTTAATAGCGTACAAAGACGAAACAAGTTACCTCCAGCTTGGTGTTTCCCTTTGATCGATGCTAGTGTTACATTGACGAAACAAGTTACCTCAAATCAATACTTCAAAATGAGCATACGTACATTTCTCCACTGATTTCGTCTTTCCCCTTTGCTTCTTCAACGGCGTGTACATTTTTAGTCATGGCGTTCTGATTTCGTCAAATAGTCAAAGTAGGTTATCCTAATGCTGTAATGCACTACCGAGCAAAGACCTTGTCAATTTTTGACTCGATTGCATTAGCAAAATTGGCCCCATGATAGATTCCTGCTGCCTCTGCCTCTGCCTCTGCCAGTCCTCTATTCTATATAAATAAAAGCCGTTGTGCACTTCAAATCCAAAACATCCACGAAAACTAGACACTTTCAAATCAACACACCGATGGGTCAACGGAAAACTTTCCTCCTCTCGTCTTTGGCCGCCATCCTCTTAGCAGCGCTCATCCAGGGAAGCCATGCAGTGGAATACACCGTAACAAACAGTGCCGCGTCCACCCCAGGTGGTGCCCGATTCGAGAGGGACATCGGGGTCCAATACACCAAGCAAACACTCGACTCCGCCACTAATTTCATATGGAGGATCTTCCAGGAGAACGCTCCTGCAGACAGAAAGAACGTCCAAAGAGTTGACATGTTCGTCGATGACATGGATGGTGTTGCCTATACCAGCAACGATCAGATTCACGTAAGCGCGAGGTACATCCAAGGTTACTCGGGCGATGTTAGAAGCGAGATTACCGGGGTTCTCTACCATGAGATGACGCACGTTTGGCAGTGGAATGGGAACGGACAGGCTCCGGGAGGATTGATCGAAGGAATCGCGGATTATGTGAGGCTTAAAGCCGGGTATGCACCGAGCCATTGGGTGAAACCTGGGCAAGGCGACCGGTGGGATCAAGGATACGATGTCACCGCCCGCTTTCTTGACTACTGCAATAGCCTGAAAAATGGTTTTGTTGCGCAGCTTAACAATAAGATGAGGAACGGTTATAGTAATGACTATTTTGTTGAGCTGCTGGGGAAGTCCGTCGATCAACTCTGGAACGACTACAAAGCTAAATTTAATAACTAAATATACGTGCTAAAATGCTTTGATTGAATATGATGAAACTATATGTATAGGAGAATAAGTCTGTCCTGTACTCCATGGAATAAGTTGCATTTATATGCAGCATGCATGGAAGGATATGGATGGCCTCCTAAAAAGTTGGTCATAACGAAATAAATTCCATGATATTTTTATCCTTAATTTCGCTCATTCCAAATTTCAGATCACCTATTTTAAGTACAGTATGTTTTTTTATTCTGAATCCTAAGCCTTGGGAAAGGCACCTCTTACGTTTTTTTTTTTTTTTTGTCAAACAAAGGCACCTCTCACTTGTAGTCTCAATATATTTGATTCCTTTTTACCGCATTCGGAATTTCTCAATCTTAATTCTTTGTCTCAAGATTGCACAAGATGATCACTGGACAATCCCCCCAAAAAAATGGTAATAAATGTTACAAGTCTTATACATCATGCACTTGCACTACATCTGTCATGTAAATACGTGCTAGAGCCTAGAGGCTAATGATTGCATTACCAGAGAAGTTTGGACGAAATTAGTGGGACGCAAAACCGAAGAAATCTCTTATTACCCTTGAATACATTCTGCCTGTCCTTTGGAGATATCACTGTGTATCACAATTTAACTCAATCATCCTTGCAATATCTAAAATCATAAATTTGAGGAGGAGTTTCTCATGGTTTAGGCTGCTGAATGGCGGAAACAACTTCACCAATGCTCTTGAACCTTCGCCTTTCCTTCAGAAGCAGTTTTGCAAAGGTGAGAGCTTGCCGTTCACAATTCGCACGTTTCTCTGGCTCAGCTATTGATTCGAAGTCTTCAACATGAGCCACCCCAACAATTCTCCTGTAAATTTCGGGGGAAGAAGGTAGTGTTAAAAGCTAAAGGTATTCAAGGTTCCCCGTAAACCTTAAACCTCGCAGGACATGCAAATAATCCTTCAGTGCGCCATCAATCACCTAACAGAGTTGAACTCCACTGATAAATTTGTTACCCCACCCAAGTCACGACCGCAAGAAACCAAGTAACTACTGATCATAAGAGTCTTGTGTACCAGAGTTAGCTGTGAGCTTCTATCAGCTCAAAGAGCAATAGGAAAATCAGAATACCAAAATTCCCAGGACAGATCCACAATAACACGGGATAAGTTTACACAAAATTAAAGAAACGAGCTTGGCTGAAACAAACAATGCAGTGACTCACCTTATCATCTTTGCAGCACCAAATCCAAGACTGTCATGGAACAGATCTTCCATATATTTCTGTTTTGCCAACAGATGAAGTTCTGCATTATTATAAATTTCTGGCAGATATGCCTCACCAGGGCCATCCTTGTGTTCATCCCAGAGAGCAGTAAACTTTTTATGAAAAAGATTCCAGGTCTCTTCTATAGTTTTCAATATCCACAACTTATATTCCTGCAATAAGATGTAGGCATTAAACAACCAATAGAAAATCATTATAGTTGCCAGCCTGTCACCACACATAAATAAGAATTAACACGTATGAAACACCAGTTTGAGAAAATCATATTGATGCGCCACCTGTTTTACGCATTGATGCTTCTAGTGAAAAGGTAATGAGTTCTTATTGAAGAAGCTTTTACTTATTTAACCAACTAGGAAATTATGCCCAATATCAGATTTTGTAACTTTTTGCCCAATAAGGATATGACTTAGTGTTTCAAAATATGTTTCCCCTCAACAGTTTAATAACGTGTTTCATAATGTTTTAGACACATTGATGTTAAAATTTCATAGATGAGCATTGCAATCAATATGTTCTACGAGTCTTAGTTTTCCATGATATTCTGGCTCATGAATCACTGTTTTCTGAACTAATCGAACATCACCTCATGATTGCAAGATCATAGTTATCATTCTCTTTCCAGAAAGGTTAATCTTTTTTGTCTTTCATTCCTTTGAGTGCCAAGAGGGTAATATTTGCAACAACATGGCTAATCAATATCTAGAGTTTGCAGCATTCTAGGAGCAACCACGGAGCTTATCCAGTATCTGAATGGCCAATATTTTTGCAGTGATTCTAACAAGAAAACAAAAACAGAAACCAAAATAAAAGCAGCACCTTTCAGCAGTCAATACAGGTTAATGGGGCCGCACGCACCATTAATTTGGATTGTTAGCCATAGTTCAGTTTAGCTTCAAACCGTGGTCGCATATCAACAAGTCAAAACCTTTTTGATTGCTACATGCCCTCTGTGCGCTCTCTCTCTCCCTCCCTTTTTCTCTCCCTCATGTATATTCAGTGGCTTTGCATCAAATATTTTAGCAGAAAAAAGACACAAGCAGATTGGGCAGAAAGCCTATATATGATACATATGTTAACTTTAATCCCCCAATTTTTTAGCCATTCCATCCCCTCCCACAGCAAGGGTAGGCCAGAGCTGTCTTATAGCCAAAGCCATGAAAATCACTACATATGATACATATGTTAACTTTAATCCCCCAATTTTTTAGCCATTCCATCCCCTCCCACAGCAAGGGTAGGCCAGAGCTGTCTTATAGCCAAAGCCACGAAAATCACTACAAGGCCAAAGGGCAAGTAATACTTGAACGTTGGGAAAAATAAACGAGCATAGTTTAACTAGCCAAGATACTAGAAACAAGGGTGACTGAGAACGCTATCTCAGTAGAGATCCACAGGGCACAACAGTTCACATTTGAGTTGTGGAAGTCAACCCTATATTATAAGCCATTTCAAAATTTCAGGCAGAAAGAACAAACTAAATGTCTTCAAACACCCAACACTAAGAAGAATAGAATAATAAGATAATGAATGACAAAGGAAAAAAACAAACCGTAGTAAAGAACTTAGAACGCTTCCAATAACAAGAACTTGGACTTACCTTTCTGTCATTTCCCTCATTTGCATGTCCATCTTGTGCAAAATAAGCCAGGATTAAGTTTCCAATAAAAGCTCCAACATCAAATCCCATCGGCCCGTAGAAAGAAAATTCTGGATCTATAACTTGAGTAGACTTGCTAGTAACCATGATAGAACCTGTATGAAGGTCACCATGGATGAGAGCTTGGGTTCTCTCGCAAAATCTGCATATACAAATTAGAAAGCGAACTTAATCAGAAAGAAGAGTATTATGATAAGCAAAAAGAGGTTTGTTACAAGAAGAATGCTATTAATGAGAAGTAGACTGGTTCCAGAAGTACTTGGACTTCAGCTCTGCAACTTCAAGCTTCAATATATTATCTTGCCGAACTGCCTCTGCATCACTATCAAGATAAGGAGATGTCCAATGGTTATACTGAGAGACCTTGTAAGGGTCAGAAAAAACCACTTGCTCAGTTAGTCTGCAAAGCTCCACATTTCCACAGAATTCAGCAACTGCATAAAGCATTAGGCGACAAATGAATTACAGACAAGAAGAAAACATGACTATATGGTCAATAATCATTAGAAATGCTGAGCAACAATGATTTTTATTTTGATAGCCAACAAATCCTTTTTTCTTTTCACTTCTTTTCTTATTTTGATAACCAACAAATACTTACCAAATGCACAATCAACTAAAATCTAAATGGACCAAATCAGAATGTTGGCAACTGACACTCCAAGTCAAAGATTAAGTGTGCTAATCAAAGGTTTGGCAGAAGATCATACTGACGTAATGTATAGTGCAGTATCAGGTCTCTTGATTAAAAACTGTTTGTAAACTGAGCTACTATAAGGGACGGTAATTTTAATTAAGTTGGATAATTCTTCAAGTTCTTTTTTGTAGAACAAACTAAATGGCTGAAACACACCATTCACAGAGAGTGGACACGGGAGCAACTAATACTTGAGGAGAACACATATGAAAGGTTAATTCCATCATCTAGAGGATAAAAAAAATGCCTAGATTAACCTAATTACCATCAAGATCTTTTACCTGCATGCTTGTGTTCGGTAGTGGTAAGGTAAAGAAGAGAGGAGAAGAAAAGAGTTTTAGCCATGAAGTTCGATATGTGTTCTGCAAGCAATGGGTACTCTTTGCCAGCGATCAGTCCTTTTCTGAGTATTATATGAGGCGGCTCAATGTAGCGCATGCCTATCACACACATTGCACGGTCGAAATGATAGACCTCAGGAGTCTGATCAGGACACACACGCCTATGCTCTCTCAGTGTCCTAGCTTCAAAATAAGCACGCTCTTTTGTCATTGGCCATGATTCCCCAATACAACGGATATACGGAAGAGCCTGCAGATGCAAAATACATTGAAAACGTCGGAAGAAAAGAAAAACGGATTTCCCACCCACAGATGGAGGGAGAACCATTTATCCGCAAAACCATTGAGTGCCATAACCAAGTTTATATTTCTAATTATTTTTCGAGCACATTCAGGGGAAAGGGGGCTAGGTGCTGCAAAGTGACAGTTACAAGAGTCTAACCCTGGCATTTCGCCTCAAAACTTGAGCCAAATCTGTACCTCAAAATTTTCACATTCTTATATACTAGTTCCATAATTAGTTGAGAAGATGCACAAATTGCAGCACAGAAGCACCGTCCAGTATCTAGAAATCAGCAAAAAACAAAAAATCGGGCTATAATGCTTGCCACTCTCAAGTCAGCCACAGCAACAATAAATTCATCTTGCAATAAGAGTACAAATAAGTTACTCCTATTCTCGTGTAAAGCTTAAATTTTTAACAAATCAACGGAAGCACAACATCGTTCATAACTAGTATTCAACAGTTCCTTCGCCAACACGGATCAGAACAGCAAAAAGAAAACATGGTTTAGGAGGGACTTAAATAAACCGACTAATAACTTCAATTAAAGTAGATGGAAATAATTGAAAAAGAAAAAAAAAAAAAGCAAAAAAGACTGATAGAAGAGAAGAGAAAGATGTTAAGGACAGAAAAAAGGTGATTTTTTTTTAACCTGTTTGATGACAAAGGAGCCAGAGCGGCCAACAACAATGTAGACAAAGTTGAGATTGCCATCACCAACTTCTTTGATTTGCAAGTCTTCGAATTGGTTCCCAAGCTTCTCTGCTAAAACGGGGGTGGCCTTGAGGTACTCCAACAGAAATTTCTCGTCCAGGGGCCGGAACCCATCTGATGCCATTATATCTCGGCAGCCGCTGAGGGGTTGATATTGACGCCAAGGGCTGGGAAAGCTGTGAGAGCGGCTTCAAAGGAAGAAGATGGGGTTCTCTTTATTAGATATTGTAGAAGAGCTTTGTTCCAGTGGAGAGAAGGGGCATGAAAGGACGACGTTGGATGCCGAGTCTTATTCGTCTACTGACTTTCGTAGGTTTGGAACTGTGAACTGAGACTACAGGGAAACAGAAAGAGAATTGGATTCCTTGGACGGTCCCACCACCGGCAGCATGGAGCACGCCATCATTTTTTCACAGACATTATTGGCTTTAATGCTTTATTGGTGATTGAAAGTGTGGAAAATCTCACGCTTTTCTTTTCTTTTTTCTTCCCTTTCTTTGTCTGGGAAGGATAGGAAATTGCGGACTGAGAATTTAACGAGGAAAATATCTGGACCCTACCTGGCTCCATATTCAACCGGGGAAAGATGGAAAACACAAAAAGATGCATTGAACCTGGCCAGTATGTAGTGAGATTTATAGCAAACAAAAAAAAGAAGGGCCAGTATGCCCATGGATGTATTCGATAAGATTGAATTTTGAAGTCTAAAATCTGAAGTTTGAATTCATTAAATTATTGAATTGTTAAGTATTAAATTTAATACATTTGACTGTATATCACATTTAGTGATATACACTCAATTTTGAAGGCAAGTTTTAACTAGAAAATTCAGTAGTGCTTAATTAATTTAGATGTTCAATTTGTAGCTATCAAAATTTGCATCCATTAAATATAAATACTGAACTGAATTATCAAACAAAAACTAAATAACTATTAGTCTTCCACCAGCAGGAAAAGAAAAGGACGACATGAGAGTCGAAAATGTCATGATTGCCGTGCAAATCACTCTGAACCGGTTGAGCGGAATTTGGGATACCTGTTCACTCTATTTGGTGCAATTGACTGTACGGCAACTTACAACGACAAGCCCGTACTCTGTTATAGCCCACAATACTAAAGTTTAGTAGCAGAAATATTAAATGTTCTTACACAATTAGCTCAGCGGACTAGCCTGATTTTAAAAAATCGACCAGTGGCAAGCCCATGACTGTTGGGCTGTCATAGCCCAAATAGGAGAGCTTTTATAGCCCATTCCTAGATCCGCTTTATCACCTAACGTTACCGTTTTTGACCAAAAAAAAAAAAAACTAACCTTATCTTTTTTTTTTCTGAACTTAAAACTAACCTTATCTTTGACTCATGTAAGAGCGCGACAAGTGGACAGAAGAGAATCTCTCCCTATATTCCATCCTGTTTATTTTTTCGGACACTGATTTTATTCTACATCCACTCTTGCTCTGTACTAAATTAAAGTAAAAGGAGGAAATTGGACTAATATCAATCCAAACGAGAAATTATTCAGAAAATATTAGATTTTTTCAGGAATGAGCTTTCACCTACACGCGACGCAAGGATAGAGCTTTTGAAGCTGTCCCCACGGCCAACTAATTTTCTTGATATTCGGTCTCGTTCGGTTTCCTGCGAACACATCTTTCTTCTGGAGCATTGTGAGACTCCGCACTCTCCTCTCCCGGGAGGTCCCAGCCTGTTGGTCCGTCGTTCCGCTGTGTTTTCCGCACTCCGGTGGCCTGAAAATGGAGCGTCTGCGGACGGTTTTGATGCTCAGTGTATTACTCCTCAGTTCGGCCGGAGAATCCGCCAGAGTTTCAAATATTCGCCTTCCCAACTCTCCGGCGGATGGTCTCTGTGCTCACCTCATCCAACCTTATGGCTATCCTTGCTCCGAGCACATCGTAGAATCTCTATCTCTATCTCTATCTACGTATCGTTCTTTGTTGAATATAGTATTTGTATACAGTGGTACACATGAATAAATTTCATTAATCATTGATCTTACTTTTTTGTCTACCTATGTATTGAAGGCGTTACTAAGCTGGAGGCGGATTTTTCTGAAATATAGCGTACAGGTGATTTAGTTTAAGAATGTGGAATTGTTGATGCAGGCACAAACAAAGGATGGTTACTTGCTTGGTCTTCAGCGGGTGGCATCTAACTCCAGATATCTCAGACGGCAATACGGTCCTCCAGTTCTTCTCCTTCACGGGCTAATGATGGTAATTTCTCCTAATATAATTCGTTTACATGATTTCTATTTTATTTTTTTTCAGAAAAAGAAAAAAAAATCATATTGGAGAGGCTGCATTTGAATTTAGCTGTATTCGTTCTTTTAAATTCCAGTTCTATGGAAGATATTTACCAATCATCATTACTGTTACTACTTTGTGCAGTCAAAACTGTTTTATGGTACAAAAGTTTATTTTTCAGTTCACTGTCTTCTTTAGTTAGATCTGTTGGTTATCGGAATTGTGCATTCTTAGTGCTTTGGTGCCTCCTTGTAATGTATGTGAGATTTTTGTGAATTTTTTCCCATGTGACTGGTAAAAATGTAATGCAATTATTATGTGTTAGATCAAATGGCGTCCATCACAGCTCTTAGGCAAGATATGTCAACAAATTTTGCACAATGAAGAATTGGAAAGTGTACAATAAGCCACCATTCTTAGTGATGCAACTAACTATGGAACCCGTGCTGCTTGCTTATTTTAATTTCTTGGATTATATGCATATTTGTAATTAAAGGACAATTACGTGATTTTAGATTTATAAGAGTTTACCTAAAGAAGTTTCCCTACCCCCACTGACTACCGCATGGTGGCATGGATAAGATCTTTTCCTTTATGCATACCAGCTGCCTCAGAGCCAATGCTGGCTTACTCATTGGAAACAGGAAACTTCCCACATTGTCTTTACTTTGTCCTAACTATAAATCTGATGCACTATACTATTGCAGAATTTGCTATGCGTAACTTTCTTTTTGAAATGCTAACGCAGGCCTATTGTCAAAACTCCTACCTGATTGCTGAGCTACTTTGCCTATATTAGTAGCTTTTATCTTTCTGTAGAAAATGAGAGGTTATTATTGATGACAGTTACTTATTTCCTGTTGCCACATCTATCTCTCAATACTCTTTCTTGCCTTTTCCCTGCTACTAGCCTCCCACTTGTGTGCTATGTGCTTCCCTCAATGAGCAAATTTGATTCTGACTGATGGTTCCATAAATGTGTGCATATTCAAGCTGTAAGAGTATTACTATGTCAAAATTCAGTGTGTAAGCTGTAAATTATTTCGTCCATGCATCTTGGTTTTGGTTAAAATTATAAGCTAAAATGGCTTTCGCATCTATAGGAAATGCTACTTTATTATTACAAAGATCTTTACCAAACATGATTAGCCTTATCTAGACTCACAGAAATGGTAATTGTCCTCCCCCCCCCCCTCTTCCATTTTGTGAATGTAATATAAAGAAAGGATTGGGTTGCAGTCTCGTATATTAACAATTGAGCAACTGAAAAATATAACAGGCAGGTGATGCCTGGTTCTTGAACTCTCCAAATCAATCATTGGGGTTTATCCTGGCTGATCATGGCTTTGATGTTTGGGCTGGAAATGTGCGTGGGACACGTTGGAGTCGTGGACATGTCTCTCTGACTGAAAAAGACAAGGTATTTATAGCTTGTCTTTGACATCTGGTTATAATCTTTAAGTGCTGTAACTGTTGTAAATTGTAATGTAGTACAGGTTTTCAAATTACATTCATATATTGACTTGTCATGATTTGATTACTCAGGTAAAAGCAAGGTATAAATATGAATTGCTTTGAAACCTTAGCCATCAAATGGTTAATGCTCAGAAGAGCAGGAGTGGTGGACCACCATCCTCCCTCTATATGTAGAATTTATTTCACAAGTTACTTCTGCATGGTCTTGTCCTGATCTGGGATGCAGCAAAAATATTCTTTTTGCATAAACTAGATGTGCTTTATGAACCCTCTTGCTTTAATGGTTTCTTCTCTTGTTTTTTTAGGATTTTTGGGATTGGAGTTGGCAGGAATTGGCTCTGTATGATCTGGAAGGAATGGCTCGTTATATTTATAACATCACCAATTCAAAAATATTTATTGTTGGTCATTCACAGGTCTTGAATCTCTTGAGAACTATGTTATTTCTTCATTTGGTTGGTGGTTTTTGTTTTTCTGATATTCGATGTCCTTTGCTTTATTTTGCAGGGAACAATAATGTCTCTGGCTGCTTTTACTCAACCACATATAGTATCAATGGTTGAAGCTGCTGCGCTTCTTTCTCCTATCTCATTTTTGGATCATATAAGTTCGTCTTTTGTCCTAAGATTAGTGAAAATGCATATTGATGAGGTTTGTGTGGTTTCTTTTCGAGTATTCCCATCAGGGCTTATTTGTCAGTGTGCTTAAGTTGTCATTTTTCTCTAAGCAGGTGTTACTTGTGATGGGCATTCATGAACTTAATTTCAAAAGGTCTTGTTAATTTTGGCTCTTTCTTTCAATCAGGTTTCCACATATCTTCAGTTTATATATTCCTTTCTGACATGTTCTATTATCTATTCAGTGACTGGGGCACCCATATGATGGATATGGTATGCGATGAATATGCGAATTGCAATGACTTGCTTACTACGATTACAGGTCCTTATTCGTGTTCTGTTATTTGGCCTTTAAAAGAAAAAAATTCGTTTCGCAACAAACTCTTCTGCTTTGCTTTTCTGCTAGCAATCTAGCACTGTAGAGCAAGTTGGGAAGTAATTAGTCGAGTGTTTAGAATGGTTAAACTATTATATTGCCATCTGTATCTTATTAGATGGTGGGTTAACATTTCAGGAAAGAACTGTTGCTTCAACATCTCCCGGATTGATTTCTATCTCGAATACGAACCGGAACCTACATCCTCAAAGAATCTGAATCATCTTTTTCAAAGTATGCACTAGCAGGATATTTTCTTTGGCCTTTTGGTTTGCTGAAGTTTTTCAAACTTGCTATACCAGGCTAAGTCTGTGTAGCCTTTTTCCTCATTTTTTTCTCATGCATTCGCTCTTACTCTGCTAGTTCCTACCCATTGAATTGTGTTTATTTTGCAGTGATCCGTGAAGGTACTTTCAGAATGTATGATTATGGAATCTTGAAGAACCTGATACGCTATGGACGGTTGCAGCCTCCAGCATTTGATGTTAGCAGCATTCCGAATTCTTTACCATTGTGGATGGCTTATGGGGGTAACGATTCATTAGCTGACGTTACTGATGTGCAGCACACACTGAAGGAACTAAAAAGCCAGCCAGAGGTGCTTTTTCTTGAGGAATACGGTCACATAGACTTCCTCCTGAGTGTAAGATCAAAGGAAGACTTGTATGATGACATGAT